TATGTTCCCCAGAAATCAAGGCTGGTTTCACATAGCTAGCGTGTTCCGCATTAAGGCTGATGATGGCTTCTGCTGGTTATGCCTGCACCATCATGGTCTTCACACAGGCAGTGTGTTTTCCACAGCACTGCAGCAGGTTAACAAGGGGAGTTTCTCAACTGAAATGCTAGAACAGGTTTTAACTCTAAAAAAGGGTTACAGCAGACCAGATTACCACACATTATATTTTTATGCCTGTGACATATACACATCTACAGATGTAAACATAATTATTGCTCATACAAGGTCAGTATGACTTTTATGTGTAATTTATGTCTATTTTTAAAAGACCTGTGCATGGCTTGAGGTAATTTTAGTGAGCCTTCTATTCTCTGGATTTTTGGCACATGACACATGCATATCACACCAGCAGTGTGAAGGCTCTCACTCTTAGGCCCTTTAATGGCCTCTTGGAGCTTAATTGGCATATGATTCCAAAAGAGATAGGCCTGATAACTGAGAGCTCTACCTGCCATACTACTTAATGAGAATTTACCACAAGCAGTATTGCATTTTGGGTGTGAACATGTCACAGATGGTCATGAGAATGAGCTTGTGATAACAGACGTACAGCTGAGCAAACTGCAGCTCAATCCTGCCCTTGGATTGATCCTGGGGAATGTCCAGTCCCTTAGGAATATTGTGGACGAACTCCATGGGGAACGTCCGCTTTCAGAAGCATTTCAGAGACTGCTGCGTCATGGCATTCATGGAGACACAGAGGAAATGTGGAAAACCCAGGGAGGTGGAGTGTCTTTACAACGATACCAATAGTACAACTGTGTGACGGTCAAAGAGTGCATCTATGTCCCAGATGTTAAACTTTTATCTGTGTCGTTATATCGCTTCTACCTGCGTTTGAGTTTATAGCAGCAAGCCAGCACCACCAACGATCCACTTGAACCTATGAGACATGAGAGCTCAGGAGCTCCCAGGAAAATATGTGGTTAGTAACTAAGATTTACAGATAGTGACTTGCTGTAATATGAGAGAGAGGGAGAGATATGAGCTCAAGGTGCCAGTTCCCACCCTGTTCCCGAAATCAGCTGCTCAAAAACTCTGAATGATTTCAGACTGCACTGACATCAACTGTGATGAAACTTTTCAGAAATTGGTGAGGTCGGAAATTCTAAAAACAAAGCATGACCTAGAATCCATGCAGTTTGCGCATAGGCCACTTAGAGGAGTGTATGATGCCACTTTAAAGGAAGAATATGTGAGTTTTCACACTTAAATATAGCAGAAATCCAGTATATCCTCTGAAAATAACTCTGTGAGTCATGACTGTCTACAATAAGTGTAACACCCGAGTCCCACTGTCTGTGATGTTGTCTGAGCCGTATCTACACCATGTTTACATGGATGGGACGGTCGGCTGGCTCATCCCCTAGAGTATGAAAGTTGTTTAATTGAGGGACTAGAGAAAAGAAGAAGAACATACTGTACTCACTGCTTATTTTAATGTCACGTAGGCGTTTCTAGATCACGTTCATTTCGTGTAAATTGACATGCAGTGTGAAGATACGAGCAAACTAAAGAGCGCTAGCATTAGCATGCTAACACAACGACGCAGCACGAGTTGTTTTGGTTTCATGCTGGTGCTCAGGGGCGACATCTACTGGATCAAAAAGTTGCATATTCTTCCTGAAATTAATTTGCTTTTTAAACATCTGGAGGTCAAGGGAACATATAGGCTTTTATTTATTGATTTTTTAATCTAGTTTTAATTTTACTCAACCCCTAACTAAGAGGCTTAGAACAGTTTGATTTCGGGAATAATCTTATTGGCTGGATTCTGATCTTTTTAACTAATAGGACACAAAAACTGACAGTGATTGGAACCCAGCCTGACCAGGTTTGCTGCACCACCAGCTCCCCACAGGGATTTGTGCTTTCGCCTCTTCTGCTCATCCTCTACACTAATATATGTTGCATAATGAATAAACATTTTCTTGGAGTTGGAAATCAGGAAGAGAGAGAGAGTAGGGAATGACATGCGGGAAAGGAGCCACAGGTGGGATTCGAATCTGGGCCGTCCGCTTGGAGGACCATGGCCTCCACAGATGGGGCGCGCGCAGTAACCACTGCGCCACCAGCGCCCCTTGTTGTATGTTTTTAATGTTGAACTTAACTACAGGACTACAGCAGTGACTTTATAAATTTAACTGAAAATGTCATTTAAACTTTATTTTCCAAAAGTTAATTTACTGTGGTCTTCAACCTGCAAGCTGCTCTTTAAGTTATATCTGACAAGTTCCTAGTTCTATTATGTTGCATTTTTGTGTTTGTCTATCCTTAACCTTTCTGCTTTAGAAGAAACTGCAATGTCTGCAACCTATGTATGCTCTCTGGGGGAGGCTGCTTGACTGAAAAAGCCAAACAAATTCACCCCTTTTTTTTTGTGAAGCTCCACTCCACAAATTCAATTAACATGCAATGCAATTACACTGCTGTGTGAAAAACTGGATTCTGATTCTTACGATCAACTATGTTAAATAACTAGATTGAAATGAGTTGTTCAACGAGAAATTAAATTGCGATCTAAATATGACTTATCCTTTTCCTAACATTTTTTCTCTCCATCTTGTCCTTCTCCCAACCCCAGAATCTATCCCTTATGGAATTTGGTACTTATGGTTATTTGATGACTTGTCATACACCCTGGCCATATCTTATGCTATCTCTCCGCTCCAACAATGTCAATCCTAGACCCCATCTTCTTCTCTCTGTACTCATACCCTTGGTATATAGCTGATTCACTCCTTTCTGTTTATTGGTTGATCATGTATGTCTATAGGATTCTCTGTGCTGTTCAAGTCCTGACACTTGATTGTCCCATGACAATGCTTCACTTACATGCACATGACACACAGATACACATTTGCAAACACACAAAGACATACTTTATACAGGGCAAAGTGTTCAGTACAGGAGATGATGTACACAACGTTTACTAGAAAAGTGCCATACAAGCTCAAATCCATTTACCATTTACAGTATAATCGTCACTGCCATTAACACAGCTTTCATTACCATCCTAAAGGAGCAGAGATTCTTAGAGGGAGAAGAATGACACAATCAATTATGGTTCCATGTGGAAAAGTAAACCACAATGGGGTTTTTCTCTCACTGCTTATTCTTTCAGGACTGAGGTACCTCAGCTGGGCTGAGTATCCCATTTACAAGAGAAGACTTGAGGGGATGGGAAGGCCTGCATGCCAGGCATTCCAAAGTACACAGTGGACACATTATAATGACACTGACAAGGCAAGCTATAGAAAGATAAAGCAAGTTATGGAGTGAGAAAAAGTTGTCCACTCACTGTGATAGCTATGAATTGAGGCCAGGAAGGGTAAACCACAAAGTAAGTAATTTTTTCTTTTAATAATGAAAGACATTCAACACAGAAGTGCTCGTGCAGCTACATGTCAGATTTGTCCTCACGCTGCTTCGTTGGCAGTGTATGAATCTATATGAATGGGATTAGTTACTTCTGATTGTCTCACTACATAGCAACCACTGCCATCAGTGTGTGAATGGGTATGAATGTGTAGGTGTGACCAGCGGTGTAAAATCACTTTGAGTTATCAGAAGACTAGAAAAGCACTAGACAAGCTCAAGTCGATTTAGATGTATTAAAATATAATATACATATAATCATGCCAAATCGGTTGGTCTGAATGGTTGCAGTAACGTTTGCAATATTTTAAACCTCAAATAAGAAAGACTTGCAACATTTACGTCTGTCGTGAGGAATGTCAGAAGGAGCAAATGATCAGTTGGAATGTGCATGACAATCACACTCACATATTTTGCTCCTGGTATGTTGTTGATCAGCGGAAGTTACAATAAGTCTAGTCATGGAGCCATAGGGACAGAGTATGAAATGCTATTAGTCCAAACCCTGATCCTAACCCCAACCCCAACACTAGTCCATTCATATGCAGCTGGTGTAGCAGTGAGATCCATTTGGGGTTCAGTGTGTTGCACAAGGACACTTTGACATGTGACTATACCAATAAGCCACAGTAATAACTGATTTTTTTTTCTTCTTTTTTCTTAGAGTATGATACTATAACCTCATGAGCATCAAATTTAAAACAGACTCAATGATCCTTACCTTGGCAAGCCAAAATAATTACAATTTGAAGTCATGCTTGCCTATAGTTTCTAAAAATAAATGATTTTAGTTAAAGTATCAGTATATAGATATATTTAATATCTGCTGATAAATGTTTCCATAAGACCAATCAATGAATGTTCTAAACAGATTTGCTTTATGAAAGGGATACTTGGGAGATAATTTCACTAAAACTAATAGTGATAAGTTTTAACTAAACAATTTGTATCTATGAGCACACTGAAAACCAAAAGAGACACTCAGGAAGTTCCCTGCTTTCTTCATACGAGAAAAGATATGATGCAGTTAAATGCATTAAATGCCTTTGACTGAAACACTTCAAGATTATATATGAAACAATAAGTAAAATAATTTCTTTGTCAATAGACAATTAATAAATCAGAAAAACAATCAACAATAAGATTTTAAGCATTTTAAAAATAATAACATAACAGTGATACAAGAGTCAACAGAAATAGCTGTTACATTCGTTACTAATTAAAATATTTAAAAAATAATATTAAAATAGATTAAAATATTTAGGCCATGGTGTTTGAGTTTCAGTATGTGCTCTACAGGCCCTTTCATAGGAGCTGACACATGCTTACATGCCAAGATGATATTTGCCAGTGATATATTTGCGTATCATCTGTGTATTAAAGAGACAACTAAACTAAATTGATTTCCTCTGAAGAGGCGGGGACAATTATGGAGACATGATTGATTTGCAGAAGTCGCAAGTCGTGCCCTTACTCTGCACAATGATTGGTCAGACCTCAACAAGTCCCGCCCAAGGGTGGCGCCTTGAACCTGCTGTATGTTGGAGTGTTGCGCTCAACCACTGTTGAGCTTACAGGATTGCTTTGTACAGGGGTGGTCGGTCTGATAACGAGAAGCACTGGAGGGAAGTTGCAGTCATTTCAGGAAAAGCCCCACTTTTCACTGTTTCACCACTGGATCCGTAATTCACATTGGTATTGGATTAATCGGAAACCCCTCTTTCTAAGTTTTTGTTTTTGATTTGCTTTAGAAGACATACAAAACTCGCAGCGATGGGATCCCAGGCATCCAAGGGAGATGTAGCTGCAGAGGCAAACGCTTCTGCCCCTGATGCTTCAGCTGTCAAAACCAATGGACAGGTAATTACACTGTACTGGGGTTGCTATTACTTTCCTTTCCTTTAATTTCATTAATTTACCATGTAAATAGAAAATAAGATCCGTTTCCTCACACTCTAAAAATGACATTACAAATTTAAGCCGATGCTGAATTGATAAAACTTGAACGTGAGGATGTATGAGGCGAGTCTGCTGGGGCTTGTGGGCATCGTTATCTCCTGCCGAGGCTGTTCACACAACTAACCCCCCCCCCCAAAAAAAAATAAAAAAATCTTGTATCAGGCTATTTCGGTGGAAAGGCGAATTCATGATCACATCCAGCAAGTTGTGTTTGTTGGTAAATGAGACCTAACGCAAAATCCGCAAAACGACTAGATAGTGCCTGGCCAGGTGGGGGGGGGTGGCGGCGGGGGACTCGAGCCATAGACTGTAAGGCTCGAGCGCACGTAGGCAGACTCAACCTCTCCTCCCTTTAACAAAAGCCTCTTGGTCACCTGGTCAGTTTTTCGCGTATTTGTAGCCTACTTTTCAATATTGGTATAAGTGGGATTAGACAACCTTAACACGTTTGACCCTTATTGGGTGGTTATGATTTGGATTTAGCCTATTTGATAGAAAAAAAAAATACATAGCCTAATTGCACTATCAAGAAAAAGGGAGATGTTCTAAAGTAGCCTATAAACTGTATTTTTTTTCCCGAAATTTAAATTTTAGTCTATTCCAGCTGGAATAGACAACAGAAATTGGAAGAAATTTCCCCTCTCCGACAATGAGCCTCATCCTTGTCTTTGTTTAACCGCTATCTGTCTGGTACTTTAGTCTATCTGCGGGATGCTACCGCCGCATATCGTCAAATGTGGGTACTGCAAGGCGTCGCCTCTGAGACAAGCGACACGGTGGTTAATTGATGAGCACGAGGATGCCTTAGGAAAAAAAAAAAGGTTGACAGCTAAAATAAGCATCCCCTATTTATGTTGCATGTGCAGAGGGAAGTCTTTTTTTTTGCTTGTATACTGTTTTCTGCATGAGAGGTTGAAGGTTGAGAAACAGAAATAGATCACCATTTTTTTTTATTTATTTTTTTTACAACCATTTTGTAGGAGAATGGCCACGTGAAAACCAATGGGGATGTTTCTACTAAACCTGATGGGAATGCTGCTGGGACCAATGGCTCAGCTGAGGCAGCCCAGGAGCATGAAGCCGGCGCAGGAGGTGATACTATTGAGCTGGCACCCCCTGCAGATGGAGAGACAGCCAAACCAGAAGGAGAGGCTGAAGCTAAAGAGACACCTAAGAAAAAGAAGTTCTCTCTGAAGAAGACCTTCAACTTCAAACTGAACCTGAAGAAGAGCAAAAAGAGCGAGGCCGTAAAAGAGGATGCTGTAGCAGCCACCACACCCACTGAGGAGAAGCCGGCAGAGAACGGTGCTGCTGCAGAGGAGAAAAAGGAGGAATTAAAGGAGGAGGCTGCTGCTGCTGCCACCGAGGCTCCAAAGGCAGAGGAGGGACCGGCTAAAGAGGGTGCCCCTAAGGAGGAGGTAAAGGAGGCAGTGGCTCCAGCCCCCGAGGCCACGCAACCAACAGAGGAGAGCAGCTTGACCCCCTCTCCCTCTGAAAAGAAAGAGTGATCCACCTTTATCTCACAGTGAACTGGATGAACTGTTTTTCAAAGTAGAGAAAATTTAAGAGTATATATATATATGTGTATATATATATGTGTATATGTATACATATGTATATGGATATATGTATATGTAAATATGTACACGTGTGTGAGAGACTTTGAGGTGCCACTTTTCGTCATGATAACAAGACGACAGACTACATTCACTAGATCACTGCTCAACATCTTGACCTGGAATGAGTTTTAGGCTGTGGGTTATGTTGCTTCAAACGGATATTAATGGTTAGAGTGCAGGCTAATAACACCGTGAAGTATAGAAGGAAGAAGATGGATGGAGAGAATGAAGTCCAGTCTTCTTCCATCTAAAAGTCTACAGACCAAGATGCCACCTTCTTGAAGGAATGAAGCGAGATAAGAAACTAGGACACCATAGCCACTTAAAATGTCTTTTGAATAGGTGGGGAGGGAGGGGGGGGGGTTAATAGAGACTTACCAACTTTATACATTCCTATATTTTAAGCCAAATTTGAAATATTTTGCGATGTATTACAGAGGACCATCTTCCAGATTCAGAGAAGCTATTACTTGTTTGTTAAGAAAAAAAAGAAAAGATCATCTTGATTTTCACCTTACTATGAAATAAGAACACCTAAGCTTATTTTCACTGTTGCAGTTTGTTATGAAACAGACTTGTTGGTTTCGTGTAAGTCTGAATCTGTTTGTCTCTGTAAATATATTGGATTGATTTCTGTTCTTTCTTTTGATAATGTTGACAGATGTTTCTGGTTTTATTGTAAAGTTCATAATGTTAAATAAATGTTGGTTACCTGCCAGTTTGTGTGTCTTAATGTTATTTTTAGAATAATCCCTGTTTTCAAAATCAGTACACTTGGAAGCTTTCTAAAGCCTGTGGATAATATTAGTTATAATAATAAGAGTTATAAGGAACTTTGGTGACAGATTATAGCCATTCGCAGAAGTGTAGAAGCAAAAATAAAGACTACAGAAATAATTACTTTGGTTGGTAAAATTATTACATAAATTAAAGTCTTACTATAGATACATCAATTAAACACAAAGGCTCAATTCAGTCTGTCGTATAACATTGATCTGGTTTTAGAGTAGTAGAAATTAAAGAAGCAAGGGAAAAAAGAACTGGAGTAAATTTGCAGTACAGTGTAAAACACTTAGACCTAGGTTATAAGCTTCATTACAGCTTATTATTTGCAAAGAGGAAATCAAAATAGGCTTGGTATAGATATTGACCATTACTGGACGGTCAGTAACTCACTGCCTTTAACAATTAACAAAAATAATCATCAGTAAATATAAGAACAAACAATGAACTACTTTTGATTAAGTTAACCAGTGAAAACCACCAACTTAAAAATGTGTCTCCTATAAACACATCAAATGCATCATTCTGTGATTATTAGGTAAGGCAAAACCAGCTAATCGGTTTAGAGATAATACACAAATGTGAGCTTCATTAATGCCGGCTCTCTGTGCGACCTTTAGCCTTGCGGCCTGAGAAATCTGCAGTGTTACACCCACGCTCTCCTCACTCAACCATCTACAGTCTTACTTGAATTTTCGGGGGCCAGTGGCCTCCTGAACATGTCAACATATCACCTGAAATGGTGATATTATGGGTTGAGTTCAGAGCTACATTGACTCACCACTCAGACATTTATGAAATACTTAAACCAAACTGAAGCTCCACTATTGATTCAGCATTCTCAATTTCGAGGCACATGAACTTAAAACAGCAGCAACAGTTTGTTTTAACACTTTAAATACCAAGAAAAGCAATTATACTTCTTAAATTAATTGTGTAGCACTTCCTTGTCTTTAATCCCACCTGCTATACACTTGCTTAATATTAATATTAGCTTTGCAAAGGTTAACTTTTGTAGTGTTGTTTTGTTTGCACAGCCTACAATGACATTCTGTGACAGAAGAACTTGGAGGTGACTATCTCATTCAACAATAACAGGGTCACCAAAGACTTGCTCTGAAGGTGCCCTGAAGTGAGGTTACACTGACACCTCATGGCCATTTTGTAGAATATCACACAGCAATAGTCTAGACTCCAATATGACATATTCTAATCGAACAATCCACCAATCAAACTTCATTTATACAGCTCCTTTCAGACGAATTCAATTGCAGTTCAAAGTGTTTTACAAGAGTGCAGAAAACGTGATTGGCAGAAAAGTAGTTTTAAAAAAGCATTGAGAGACTAATGCACACCAACATGCACAGGGAACGTGTCTGACTTTGTGCCGACGATGCAGACACAGTGCTCACTTTGGTAACAGAGGGACCAGATGGCTTGCAGCAACGGCCCCGGGACCCCATATTCCCTCAGTGACCATCCGAGGGACATGATCATAGCTTTCTCAATGTTTAAAAAAAACAAAAACATGTAGACTGGAGGTCACCTTTTCATCACCAATCATTATTACTTGTGGACTTTAGTGTGGTTTGAAGACTAATTAAAGTTAACTTAAAACCATTTCTCTGTGCGCAATGACGCAATTAAACTTAAATTAAACAACACACTTGGAGAGATCTGCCAAAAATGGTTTATCTTAAAATGCAGGTTGATTCAGGGTCTGCTCAACTGATAATTTAAATGTAATACAGAGAAGACCTACGAGTTCCTTCCTTTTTTTTTTTTAAACCAGACCACAAAAAGCCAGTGGCAGGGAGGACTAAATCTGGTTCCTGAGGTTCACTCGACCAGACAACGTAACTTCATGTACCAAATAGATGCTGAGGTGCTAAAGCAGAGGTGATCAACCAGTTTTCCTGGCACATGCTTACCCATAAGAGACAGCAGAATGTGAATTACACTTACATGTTTACTTAGAACTTCTGGCGTTCTTTTCTTCTTTTCAATAGTTTCTGCTGTAATCTGTGCAGTGGAAAGCCACAACAATCCTGTCTCCTATTCGCCACACATGACTCATGAGAATCACTCACAGATAACCAGCCAGGCACAGCGATGGGCGACACGATTCCTTATATATATATATATATATATATATATAGTAATAATAATAATAAAGACTACTATAACAGCCTTTAAATTTCACAATGAGCTACATCATTTGTCCTAAATTCATGAAAAGTCCTCAAAAAGAAAACTAAATACTAATAAAGATCTCAGTTCAGTGACTGAATACACTGGGGAGACTAGCAATATTTACTTTATTGAATTCTGTTTTTACACTCTGTTCATGAGTACATGAACAACACACACCCACGAGTAGGATCCTAGGACATACACTAATAGAGAGATGTCAGAGTGAGGGAGCTCATTGAGGTGTGTAACTCTCAGCATGTGAAGAAGCAGCTGCACCAGTGGGCATGTGATTTCAAACATTTTGTAGGCTATATAATTTTAAAGTAAGTCTACCATATTATCACACAGATGCTAATTTCATAGTGTTCATAATTACATAATGTCTGACTAGATTCTATGATTTACTTTTTTTCTCCATTTTGTTGGATCAACCAATCACAGCTTCTGAAAAAAATGTCATACCTAGCAATGGTGTCAATCACACCCTATCAATAAGATAAATGTTTCTGTCTCTACCTTGCTCAAGAGTTGCTTTAATAATGTTCCTAAGTCACTCCTATAGGCTAAAAATCCATGCCAGAATTTTTTAAGCTAAGTTAGGAGCTCTCTGAGAGGATTCTCAGAAACTTTGTGAATATGGGCCGAAGTAGACTTAGAGGTAGACTTTTATCTCTACAACAACTTAGTCTCAACTAAAGTTAAATTCTTAAATTATAGTCATAACGGTAGAATTGTGTCACTAGGAGAAACTCTTTGTACTTAGGAAGCTTTGTTCATACAGCCCCAGGTCTTCATTTTTCCAGGGTGTTTAGTGGCCTGCAGATTATAAATCCAGGCTTGCCATTGGTTAAGTTTCTTTTTTCTTACGGAAGATGGGACGTGGTTGTTGACAAACGCTTTTATGTTTACATTATCACTTTGTTTTTATAGTATCTATTGCTTCACTTCCTGATGCCAAAATTATTTTCTTTTTTAAAGTTCTACACAACATATGAAAATAAAGGCAATTTATTTGTTTAAAAGTGTGCCTGTGCAATTCTTGTCTCAATATTTTTTTTCTACTTGTATATTACATCTGATTTCATCTAGGAAGTGTGGGTATGATGTCAAGTCAATTTTGGATCAGGAGTATGAATATAGCCTGTAATCCTACCAATACAGTTCCAGACTAAAAAGACTACACAAACTCAATAGCCACTGAAATTACCTTTATCTTTAATATAGAAGTTATCTACCAAATTACATTACATTAGATAACATGAGATAAAGGACAAGGGGCAAGGTGGTCAATAAAAAGCATGTGGTCTTAGGTCGTAAATCTGTTTCGCCTCCTCTCTGGCATTTTATTTGAAGCTGTAGAATCAAGGACTTTATGCTTCAAGCTCAAAGTCAAAATACTGGGGGTCAAAGTAATGAATCCTTACATATCCATCTTCTCCTCCACTGCTGTAACTGTAAACAAAAAGCACAGAACAAGGAGTTGTTAGCAATGAAACATATGGACATTTTTACCAGCTCACATTTCAGGATGCTGTATGCAACGTATTTTGTCTCTAACCTTTTGCCATCAGGATGGAATGCCACACAGTTGATTGGGCCAAAATGACCTTTGACCCTGCCAAACTCCTCTTCATATGCTGCATGGAAGAATCTTATGAAAGAGAAAAAGACTGGTTACCATTGAAACACTTATCAGATAGAGTATGTATACAAGACTCAATCTGAACTGCAGAGTGGAGAAGTAGCCAGCCACCAGGTGTAAACGAACGGGCTAAAGAGTATTTCACAACATCATTTAATAGCAAAACTTTCCTCACCTGGCCTCAAACTTGCCGATCCTGGTAGAGGTAGTTGTGACCTCCATGGCTTCCTGTCCACCTCCCATCACCACCTACATAAATCACACACACTTATTTCAAGTCTGATGAGATACCAATTGTACATGTCTTTCGTTAAACAGCTCATACCTGTCTTTTAGACCCAATCTTATGGAAATATTTCTCTTAGTTAGCAGCTCTATTTTAGATATGATCAATATGTCTTTACTGGCAGGTAGGGGTGTAACGTTACGCAAAAATGTTGGTTCCGTACGGTTCTAATTTTTGAAGATTGGGTTCGATACAGTAAAGGGACCTGATGCAACACTTTTTTTTTCTTTATTAGGAACATTTAGAACTTTCCTTTTACACATTGTTTTAAGTGCAGCATAAACAGTTCAGACAGACACCTGCTCCGGTTTCTTTTTAATTACAATACAAACGCCAATTGCATTTGTTATGGCTTTGGCACTTTCAGAAATACTACCAATAGGCTGTTTAAATGCAAAGGACAGTGGTGTTTGCTCCACGGTCTCTTTTTTTCCTAGTTTCTGTGATATTTACATTTGTGTGGTGCTTTATTAAGTTGGATGTGTTGTCAACAACGTACCCAATGTTCGCTTAAAAAACGTCGGCACACTACTCTCCTCTTCTCAATGCGCCTTTGTCCATTATTTTATTTAACTGGGAAACCGAAATGTTCCCACACAGGAGCTCGAGCTGCTCATTTGATGGGCTGACGCTTGCCATCTGTGGTGTGCTCCCTCTTTGCGGTCCGGGAACAAAGATTAAAGCACTTTTTTTCTCCGTGCGTACTCGGATCGGTCCGCGTGCGAAAGCCATTTACTGAAACGGTCAGAGTACATGTATGTTTACACCCCTACTGGCAGGCTATGTTCCACAGTCATTTAAAGTAGCCGCAATTAAACCTCTTCTTAAAAAGCCTACTCTGGATTCAGGAACTCTAGCTAACTATAGGCCTATATCTAACCTTCCTTTTATCTCAAAGATCCTGGAGAAGGTGGTCACATTTTCTCCATGACAACAGTTTATTTGAGGAGTTTCAGTCAGGATTTAGAGTCCACCATAGCACTGAGACTGCTTCAGACAGGGGACTTCTCTCTGTGCTCGTTCTGTTAGGTCTGAGTGCTGCATTTGACATGATTGACCATCACATTTATTACAGAGACTAGAACAATTACTTGGAATAACAGGGACTGCTTTAAGTCCTATTTTTCAGATCGATCTCAGTTTGTACATGTAAATAAGTCCTCTATGCACACTAGTGTTTCCCACATATAGAAGATACCTGGCCAACTACATTTATGGCCGCCCAAGTCTATTTCCGAAATTTGTATTTTATTTTTCAATAATTTATAAAATTGCTGTGTGCGCAGACATGCACAAGGAGCTCACGGCTCCATGCAACATAGCTATCGTTTAAAAAACATATTCCCTCTTGAATCCTGCAGAGATAAGACACAGCAAAACCAGGAGTGCAGAAGGTCCACTGTCCGCTTCATTTTAATAATGTTAATGTACAGCTGCTTGTTGCTGATGCTGTGATGAACTCAAATAACAGAATATCGAGTGGAACTTTTCAAAACGCTAGGCATAGTCATTGTGTTTGTGTATTTGTGTCGAGAACTAGAAAAATGGACCACATTATTCTTTTATTACGCTTCTCTGCACTGGCTCCCTAAAATAGTATTTAAAATTCTTCTTCTCGCATACAAAGCTCTTAACGGCACCCTTTCCTGCTCGTGGTACCTTCATCTGTCCCTCTCTGTCTCTGTGCATTCACATCATATTACTGCATGTTGCTATCTGTAATTCTCAGTTAGGAACCACATCCTTTCCTGGGAGCTCCTGAGCTCTCGTCTCATAGGTTCTTCTGGAATCGAGTATCGGTCGATGGCAACATGAGCCTGATTTTGCCCAAAATTTTCTTGCCACTGTTACTTTGCTAAATGTTGATAAGTGCTGTGATCATGATGGATTTTACCTTGGGCCTTATATAGTATTATAGTAAAGAGTACGGTCTTTTACCTGCTGTTTGTAAAGTGTCTCGAGATAACACTTACGTTATGAATTGGCGCTATACAAATAAAGATTGATCGATTGACTTGTTTTCAGAGATAACTTTTACAGTCTTCACTTACGTGATCCATAATGGGGGAGATGGCAGCAGAGTTGACTGGTCTCTCTGTTCTGAAGGTCTTTATGTGATCCAAAGAAGAGCAGTCGAAGAGCTAAGAGGAAAAACAGAGGACAAATAAAGTACAATATAAACTATGATTATGACTGTAAAAAAGATCAAAATCAATATTTTTAATACATAATCCATGTAGATGATGCATAAACAAAAAAAAAAATAACTGTAACCACACCCTTAAGTTACTATAGCCAAAATGCTGATTTGGCTGACAGAAGAACAGACCGGCGTCCTACCTTGGCAGTGTTGTCCTTTGAGGCACTGATGAACATAGTGAGATCCACTGATGTCTGGATGTCATTGATCTGCTTGGTATGCTCTTTGCCCTTCTTCAGGATTTCTCCAGACTGTCCATAAGTAAACACAGTCACAACATTAAGATAAAACACCTAAAACTTGAACTGAAACACATTCTCTGTGAGCTGCGCTCCTGGATATCTCTTGTTAATCTCACATGCAGTGCTTTTGTGTATTTTATTTTCTACATTAATGCAAGGTATTTAAATAAAATGGAGTCGTCATCTCTCCATTTTATTGTTTGACATGAAATTAGTGTACTTTGTTTCAGAGTAGTACGCCTACCATCAGTTCTAAAATAATTTTGTTAGATTCACAAACAGCATGTGTGTGTGTGTCTCACCTTGGCGCTGAACTGATTGATCTCCCCATTCTCGTGGCCAGCAATGACAAACTCTCCGAGAGGTCCCCACACAGCGCTGGTAATCTTGTAATCACTGCAGGGTATCGATTGGTAGGGCTGGTTGTCTTCTACAAGATAGAGAAGGAGATTACTTGTTATAGCACTGAGAGCGACACGTATACAAATATAATCTCCTACAGTGTACTGTCAAAATGTAATACATGTTTTAACACAAAGAGGTGTAAAACAATAACATGAGATAACCAAAGAGACAACTGACAGACATAAACAACTAGAACAGTAATGTATGGCAATTTAAGGCAAGAAGTGAATAACACATTTTGAAGTGTTCTCTTCCTCTATTTTGCAAACTATGTTGATCTCACATCTTGTCGTAACACACGTCAATACAAAATAACATTGTGCAACAGAAATAATCCCCAATGCAATCATTTACCATTGTTTTTTTGTGTACGTGCTAAAAGAGTTAAATCCAGACAAACACTAGTGAAAGCTTGAATGTGGCTTTCCTGTCTCTCTGGTTTATTAACCCTTTAAAAAAAGGTCAACAACATCCTTTCAAAATGATGAAAGTGCTGCAAAAGTAGGTGCTTCAGTTGGTTAGTTTGTACCTATCTGCTGTGGATCCCTCAGGTCAAAGAAATTCAGGAAACACTGGTAACCCATCTGCTTGTCTGTGGAGAACATGATGATGTTGCCGCTGAAGTCAAAGCCACACGTTCTAACAGCAGAGTTGGTGTTCAGCAGGGCCAGCTGTTTACCTGTGCAGCACAGTAGAAAGGGGGGGAACAGCTTAAGAATGAATCACTTACTGGAAAACTATGAAGCGCGCACTTCAGTCTTACTCAACATTGTGTTTTTACCTACCAGTCTCACAATCCCACAGTCGACAGCTGTTGTCTGCTGAACCGGTCAATACATTTTTAGTGTCCCCTGAAAGAGGTTAAAGTTAAGGAGCTCAACATGTATGACACAAGATGACACAGTTACAGTCATTATATGGCATGAATACAGCATTAAAAATTGTATTTGAAATGAAACACCTTGACCAGGTACATTTCTTTAAAGGATACAGTCACAGTCAACACACCACACAGCTCCTGTATGTCCATTGTATGTACCAAGTCTCTCGCCATTGACGGAGTACCACACGTTGGTTACCTACAATGGGAGAAAAACAAAAGATGTACCATTTTTTTTTGCACTTACCAAACAAACGTGTAGTTAACGGCAGGACTCTGTGACTTCAGTAAGTTAAAAAGATATTCACAGATTTGTCTTTCCTGGAGCCGGATCATTGCGTTTGCAAAACCGACAACTCTTTCCAATCGCAGCAAGGTAGACAGAGCTACAGCCTGTTTTTCCACAACAGGAGCAATCCTCAGAGATGGACGACTAACATTGGGCTCAATACGATCTATTAAATCTGCTTGATTAATCAAAAACGTGTAGCGTCTGGTAAGAATGTGTGTATAAAAATACCATTAAAACTCTAAACATCTGACTCTACTCCAAGAAGAGCAGGCCAAGACATGAAATTGTGTTTCAAATGTGCAGGGACCGTCTGCAGATTGAAATACAGGATGATACAAAACTATTCCATTACTTCCCCCTGGATAGGTGTAGTGAACAAAATCACTTAAAACATACATAAACTCGTGTTGTTTATACTACATTTCTTAGTTAGGAAAAATATGCCTTAACATAATTTTGAGGATTTTTTTTTTTTTTAAAGAATTATGTTTGGGCTTTTTTTTTTGTTGCCTTTATTAAGGGAGAGGACAGTGGATAGTGCATAGTCGTAAATCTGGTAGAGGGAGTTGGGAATGACATGCTGGAAAGGAGCAGCAGGTCGGATTCAAACCAAATTTGTGGAAATGTTTCAATTTTTTTCTTTCCATTTTTCATCTCTTTGATGAAATGTTATATTAGTTATAATTCACTGCTATTAAAAGCTATAGGGTCAAAATCAAATCGAATGTTACATATTTTTTCTCTGTTGATTATACTACATTTCTAAGTCTCAGAAAAAATACTTAAATCAATTTGGGGCTTTTATAAATAGTAAAAATACCTACAACCCAACTATTATACGTTGCAGTAAATCCAAACTCACATCACAAATAAATCACCTCCTCTCAGTTATCCTACAGCACTTTTGTGTGTTGTTAAAATAAGTAACAACTACTATTACACATTTTAGTGCCACCAAATGCACAGTAAACATAAAGAACATCCTCATGGTTAAACTACAGCACTTACTGTGGGAAATGTCACTGTCATGTAATTTTAGGGAATTTTAATCAATAAAACAAGTGATAACTGTGTAAAACAAGTAAAAACAAACAAAAAAAAATCATAAAACAAGTGATAACTGTGTAAAACAAGTAAAAACAAAAAAAAAATCATAAAACAAGTGATAACTGTGTAAAACAAGTAAAAACAATTAAAAAAAATCATAAAACAAGTGATAACTGTGTAAAACAAGTAAAAACAAAAAAAAAAATCATTTAAAAAATCATAAAACAAGTGATAACTGTGTAAAACAAGTAAAAACCACCCAAAAAAATAATCAAAATCAAGTGATGACTACTGAACTGATGATAGAGCCACCAAACTCACAGTACACCTTTCTTTTTCACTATTCTCCTCTTGGTTTAACTTCTGCAATCACTGTAGGAAATGTGCTTTAATGTAATTTAAGGGATTCTTTATATTAAAATAATAAAACAAGCTTGCAGTCTCAGAAAAAAAACAATGTCCAGCTCATTGTTTATGGCCCCGGGTAAACTGATCTGTGAACATCTCTCTTGACTTACAGTCACAGATTCGTTTCTTCTATTTGATAACAACTGAAGTGACTCGGTGAATAAATCCGACTTACCGTGTCTTTCGCTACGGAGAAGAGCAGATCTCCTTCCCTGTTGTACTTAATCTGCGTGATTGACCTCTCATGGCCCTGGAGCAGGATGGGTTTCTGAGGAGAGAGAGCGTTCACCTGTGAGCAGTCTGAACAACAAGGTAGCATCTCTCTCTCAGCTGATGTTACGATTCACTTAGCAGGCGCTTTTATCCAAAACTAGTGCAAACAATAAATGTATTCTTCAGCATAAACATGTCAAATGGTATGACTTACGACAAGAGGCAAGCTATCGTTAGTTTTAATTAGTTGGCCGTGATTAATCTGTTGGTAATCATTTTGTTTAAGGATGGCTAAATGAAAGGCTAAGCTAGCGTTAGCCATGGTACACGCCATCTGAACTGGAGTAATCTGTTAAAAAGAGACAATCGACCTGGTTTGAGAGACGATATGTCTTGTAGCAGATGGACACTAAGACATATACGTACCATTTTTGCCGACTAGGTGCTGCCACTTAAAATCGGTCTGTTAACGGGAACTGGGGTTTCCCGTACGACAGAAAAGAACTCGTGTTTCAAGCGCAGGAGCTGCGGCGGAAGTGGAAGAACTTATACTTCCGTGTCAAAAGCAAAGGACTGGACCGCTAAACCGGAAGTGCAAGCCGGTTTTATTTGCGTGTATTTAATTTATTTATTTATTTGCATAGCAATTAATTAATTGTATACTATATCGTATTTTTTAATTGTATTTCTTATTTGAATATTTGGTTTTAGTATTTGTATATTTCTGATATTTGGCATCTACAGGCTTGCTCCAACAATATTTCGTTGTACTTGTACAGTGACAATAAACATATCTTATCTCTTATTCTGCTCGACTTTTTTTTTGTCTGATTGACGCTGAGTGAAAATATGACTTAAAGGAGTAGAGTTACTTGTTGGTGAATGTGTTTCTACAGTGTCATGTTTCTGGTTGATAACATAAATGGATGAGTATACTAATCTCCTCTATGATAGTATAACCTCTTTACTTGTGTGCCTAGACAGATGTTTGACAGCTGTGTAGAAAGGTTGATAGATCTGCACCTCCTCAGACTTTATCACTGAGAAGCTTGTGAGCTGTCTGCATCTTCTGTTACAACTTTTGCAATTATTAAATAAAGGCGTGTTCGTTGACAATAGGTATAGAGAATGATTCTGTGCTGTTTTCTAAGCATTGAACAAATACACCATATCGTCTTAGGAGTCTTTAGATTCGACTTTATTGTCTTAAGACCACAAATCTGAGAAACCCTTCTTGTAAACTGGAGCAGAATGAAAGGCGCTGGATTGGTTCCTGTATTGCACTCATCTTGCTGATGTTAAATGTTGTTTTCTTCAATAGCAAACAATTTTAATCAACAAAACTACTCAAACATTAACTGTCTAATCTTTTATTTAACAATAAAACAAAATATACAAGACCAGATAAATTCTGCAACAGACAACATTTGGTTACTTCACATGGTCAGTGAACCTTCATATCCACAGAGGTACAATTCATTTGTGAATCTGTCCAGTCATTAAATGGAAGACAGTAGGATTTTCCATTTTTACCTAAATTGGAAAGTATTCCATGAATGATGCTATGTATTAAGTGGTTTATAGGAATGTCTGGGGAGAAATTAGCAGTTTTGGGAGATAAACTACAATTCAGTGGTCCAACAATACATCTTTAAATTCCCTTCTTTATTCCAACTCACCTCAAATCAGAAGAGAAATGCACAATATTAAGTTAAATGCCAAACAGCGACTGAGACTCAAAGACATGGTCAAAGCCCAAGCGAAACTACAACTGTCTGTTTATGCGATACATTCATGTAGGACAGTGGATATAATGAATATATGTTCTCCGCTAAGAGCTTGTCAATTCAGACTGCCACATAAAGAAAACAAAACAAGAGCCAAAGTGTTGCATAGATTTCCTTGAACATTCTTCAAGTAAACTTGTTTAGAAGCTACTGCAATTATAAGAGCTGGGAGGAGACAATCACAGTCTTGTAAGTTACACTTGCAAAACATATTCTTGCAGCTATCGGGAGCAAGATCATTTCTCACCTAACTTTTTTCTAACATTAAATATCTTATGCTTAATTTCTTTCTCTTTTCAATATCTTCCTATACAAAAGAAACCCTGTAGCATTTGTAACAATGGATTAACATGAAATTATTCATGAATCAACTTAAAAAGCAAACATCAAGAAAGGTGTGCAACCAAACCTTCTAATCATCATATAAAAACCTGCAAGGCATGCTTGTAGGACACATTTCATCTGCTCTGGACTGGTTTAACATCAGCTCACCAAGGGGAAAGTAGTGGTTTGCAGACAGGGACTGTGCTGTTTGCTGACTTGATGTTGGAGGGGAGGGAAGAGGCTGTAAGCAGCATTGCTTCATTCCTGTACAGTTATGGACTGTGAATTTTCCCCTTCTAATGAAGCATCTATGTCTAGTTCTGGATCACAGTGGCAGGGCTGGGAGTCGGGTGGGGTGTCTGGGTTGCTAGTAAGTTCCAGCAAAGAGTCTGTAAGTGGTGGAGAGGGTGATTCAGTGCCTGGGTTGGACACAGAGGCATTTGCAATGCCACTTTGAGGATCACCAAGCTTCTGAACCTTCTTGTTGAGCTCGTTGCGCTCTACTTTAAGTGCCCGCCGCAGCTTGTCAAGGCGCTGGACTTTACCTTGAAGTGCCTCAAATTCCCGGTCCCTCGTAGATTTCTGTATTCCCCCCAAAAAAAACACAAAATTATGTTTATTACTTTTGTGTGTTATATAAAGATGTACTGCTCTGGGATATTCTTTTATTACTATGTGATGTTATAATTATGACCTGCCGGGGGACTGCAGATGCAAACTAACTCTTAGCCGACTCTTCTACAATGCATCAAATGGCAACATTTATGTTTAATATTGTACTTGGTCCCTTAACAAATAAAAACGTAAAAAAAAAAAAAAAACCCACCCCCTGTAAGGAAGCAAAACCATGCAATGAAGAATGGATTTTTTTTTAATTGTTTAAACGGAATCTTGATTTTGATCAACTCGAGGGGGGATTGCTAGAAAGTGTCAGTGATAGACACACATCGTCTCCGTAACCAGGGCAGTTTCAAGAGAGGGAGAGAGAGAGAAAAAGAGAGATGGAGGGAGAGAGATGCATTGCTACTGACTGCTTTCCTCGAGCTGCATGCACAAATAAAAAATTGACAGCATCCTTATTATACAGTAAGATAGTGTTGGTTTTCTAAAATTTGGTTTAAACTACCGAGTTCTGGGCCACATTGACATCAAAACTGGGTACAGCCCGAGTTAGGAAGAAAAAAGGTGCCCATGGCAAACTATCATAGTTTAGTAGCATTATTTAGTTGGCTCTGCTGTTGACTGGCGGATAACAGCGTATTGTTCTGGAGTGGATGCATGGTCTGCAAATAAACACGAACAGATAACATGGCTCAACGTTGTCAATTTTGAAACGGCTTTAGTTTAAGCTCATCAGAACCATTGGCATAGATACTTGGCAGTGAAAAGTATCATTAAACTATTGGCCCGTAGATTTCCCAAAATTGTCTTTTTTTCCACTAAAAAGCTTGACTACCCCCTTCTTTGAAAAGCTGTTTTAAGAAATCATGTCTGTTTTTTAAAAACTTAATGTTAGGATATTCCGTAAGATATACCAAAATGGAAAGTTCAGGGTAAAGAATCTTTGAATGTATGACAATAACCAAATTATGCTTTACCTCCTCTGACATCTCCAGAAGAGCCTTATTGCTGCTCTCCCATCTGGACCGATATATGGCTGTCTCCTTCTCCAGCTTTTTAATTTTTTTAGTCATCTGCAACACAGAGGACAGAACGTGGACACCTTGGGTGATCAATAGTAAAGACACCTGATACTTTTCCACTTGTTTAAAAGTATAAAATCTCTGACAATTTTACATTCCATAACATTAAAATGTATTTAAAACATGTTTTACAATTCAACTTCCAACTTTAAATTGCAAAGTAGGCATTATTCTGTTAGTCTTTGAAGGTGGCTAGGTTCTAATGACAAATGCATTCTCCCTCACCTCTGAACACACTGGACTTAGAGTGTCGTCAAGACCTCAACATACACTCAGTGACTAAATTTCATGTTTCCCAACTTCATATAAAAAATAAAATCCTATAAACTATTGTTTTTTTGTCTGCACAGGACTTTTAGACATCTACAAATGGATTTCGTAGCGATACCATATAGTTTTAATACCATTATAATAATAAAGATGATAATTCTTTTTTTACTTTACCTTTTCCATTTCCTGTTTGAATGTTGTGAAGACCTCATTGCTCTTTGACAATGTTGTCTGGAACTCTTCAAATTTCTCTGTGTACAATGAAAGCTGGAAAACACCACAAAAAAAGAAGAGATTACATGTTTTTGTCCTACACATTTTCCAAATAAAATGTTCATACTTCTTCAGACCCTAACATCTAAACGTCTCAGTAAGAATTTGTGATTATATTCATCATATAGCCAGCTTTAATAATCTGAGTAATCTTTGTATGCTGTTCTATTTTGAACCCGGATTGCCAAGCCAGCCTTTCCATTTATTTTGTGAAATTCTGGATATTATACAAAACTAAACAAAGCAGTGCAATAGTAACAAAACAAATAATAATAATGTCTTTTTTCCCTGTACTTATCCCGTATTTAAATACAATTAAATTCCACACTTTTGTACATGTAATAGAAGCCTGCGGTTTTTGTTGCAACACAACAATCCAGGTGCAGCAATAAAAGTGTAAAGAAAGATAGGACACCTGTTGTTTGAGATGAACTTCCTGCTGCTTCATCAGCTCACACATCCTTTGTGACTCTACTGCTTCTTTCAGCAGCTATGACCAAGGAAAGACAAATAACTTAAACTTGTTTTTAAAAACATGGCAACAAATAATGCTACTTTTTGTGCATTATTAATCTGATAATTACAAAGTCTTTCTCTCTGTCATGGCGCTCCTCGGACTCCTTCAGAAGCTCCTGGGCCTGATGCAGCTTGGCATCCACCAGCTGTTGCTGAAGGTCTTTGTGCTTCACAACTTTGTCAATGTGCTGGTAAAGGTTTCAAAGGGACAGAGATAAAAAAAAGAAAAGAAAAGATTCCTGTTAATTTCAAAAGATTGACTGTTTCCATTAATTTGAGTAGTAAAGGTGTTTTCACACAGGATGAAACTGGGGGATGATTTATGTTCACAAAATAAAGACAGTTGTGACTTAGTACATAACACCCTTCAGAGGCAACACAGATTGGTCAATTTCACCTCCTTTCCAATTTGATTTACTGCTGCTCAGGTGCAGTGTTGTTTGTGGGCATGGTATATCCCACTCATACAACCACACAAAGTCAGACACAATTTATAATCCTGTTATCATGTGTTTAGTGTGGAGCAATCAAAATATATCAAACAAAAATGTTATTTTGGCTGTTCAGCAGCAGATGGGTTATTTGTGTTATTTCTGTAATTAGCAAGCTCATATAAAATAACATTTGCAATTCCATAATTGAAATCCTTGAAATGCTTCAATCCAGTTGAGGCTGA